AATATATTTAACATTTCATAGTGGTATAATGTTATTTTCTGGTGTAAAATGTGATATAAAACATAATGAGTATTTAAGCTTCAGTAATTGTTTTAGAAGAAGTGTGTCACGACAAGATACGCCCTTCGAGTTCTATTAAATCAAGTAACATTAAATAAGTCAAAAACCTTTTACGGGAAGGTTAAACTGTGGCAAGTGTATTTTAGAATTTATATAACTTGTATAATTACGTTATTTAGTTCATTTTTTTTAAAAAAAGGTTTGAAAAGTTTCTTAAGGAACTAAGTGTCTACCCTATATAATTACGCCAATGTTATTTTCGTATAAAACTGTATTAAGATTTTTTTTTTAAAATATTAAGTAAGTATTTAATATCTATTTTTTCAGATTAAATAAAAATATGTTTACTTAAACACTCAAATAAAATCCAAATAACTTTCTTAATAATTTTTTTATTTTTTTTTTTTTATTACATTTATTATTTATATCGCTATACTATAAAATACTGTTTTACTTTTCAAATATAATATATTTGAATAGTCGTTTCGAATTTGTATATTTTGATTTGAATATAGATCGTATAGTGATTTACTGATGCCCAATTTTGTTGATGGATATGTCATATCAGAAAAACTATATCTTTGTATTATCTACTATCATAAAAAGATATATAAAAATTGTATAATGCAAATAATAAGGTTTTCTAAAAATAGTTATTGCTATTTTTGTAAATTTATAATTATTAATGTTACTATACAAACATACTGTATAGTCAATATTATATTTTTCCTAATAAAAACACAAACATCTATTCATAATATAAAACAAGGATAACGTATCCATCCTCAGTCAATTTTAAAGCACACAACAATTTAAACCCAAATCGCTTGAGAGATTAATCTTCTTTATTTGTGAATACAATTCAATTTTAGTTTAGTAAATCAAAAAAATGAAAATAAAAGTTAAACACTATAAATCTATTTTAACTTGGAATATATTACAGAACATTCACTGTGGACTTAGCATAACTAGTATGGGGGAGTATCATTAAAAAATCTAGTAGTATTAGGAATAAACAATATAATAGTAAACGTTAGCAAATGTATTTAGGAATCGGTTTGGTTGCCTGCTTTAAATCCATTGAAACCCTATACTTAAATCTCTTTGTACAGAAGTTGAGATTTACAATTTGTAAAAGTCAAACGATGTGTATAACGCTAATGATATCTATTTTTCAATTAAATTACTACCAATTACAATAAAATAAAATAAGAAAAACAAGTTTGCCAATCAATCCAAATTCGAAGATCAAACAAATATAATATAATGACGACTATGGAGTTTATTGACCGGTTTACTGATAATGTACGTATTATATCAACAAAAGTATATTTCTCTCTAGCAAACGTTAATTAGGTTACGGTGTCGTTACCGAAGCAATCTGCAGGTTATCGGTCGACCCACTTGTGCCGCAGTTACAAAACGTAATCTAACAGTAGTTGTATATTGGCAGAAAAAGTTTATTTTTTTTTAGTAACCGTTTTAATTTTAGTATCATATAATAAACTATTATGTGTAAACATAATAATATACATTGCATGTATGTATGAAATATATAAAAGTACATATAGAGAAATTACTTTATGGTTTTGGAACACGAAGTCGTGGTCTGGCGATGAATGCCGTCAAATATGTCAAAAGTATTTAATCCCTTGTCACACTGTAAAAAATAAAATATGAAATATTAAAATTCTACGCTCTATAATAAGTATTGTTACTACGTGTGTTTGACAACAAGTGTATCGGTATCCCCACGTCTTTATTCAGACCAAAACTATAGAAGAAAAATACAACACGGAAGGGGAGCGCTGCAGAAGAATCTGTCTCGGAAGTAATACGCCTAAAGTATAATTCCATGAATATGTTGGTTCATGACTTATAAACTATAAATTTGAGTTATTCATGGGTGAGAAAATCAGAAATTGTCAATGTTGCCAGTATAAAATAAGAAGTTTTTTGCTTAATGACATCAATATAATCTTTCCAAATTAATTTTAACCAATATAATTTACCTTAAGAAGAAACACAAGTTATTTCATTTATGATTATAAAATATATTAGGTATATATTGAATATTGATAGGTATTGGTGTTTTACAATAATGTTTTTTTATACTTTCAGGAAGTACTTTAAATACTCTTATTATTTTAGAAATGTTTAATATCTAAATATTTAAATAATATATATTTTAATCAGTAGTTAACTTCACTAAAATTCATGTTTAAAAATAGCTTTTGCTAAAATTATAAGTTTCAACAATAGAAAAGTGAATTGATTACGTATTACAATATTCATTAATAATAATAATAATTATTATTATTATTTAAAAAAAAAAAAATGATTTTAATTAACTAAATTATATTATCTTAACTCGTCTTTGCAATCAGTGTACAATTTATAAATACATTTTATAGACTTTGAGACTAAATTCTTGTTTTAACTTGTTGTAATTTATTCTATATTAAAGCAGTTATTTTTATCGATTTTACTTAATAGACCATGTGTTACAATTTAAAAATCAATAAAATATCTATTTATTTATGCTAATATTTCTATATATATTATAAATAAATTATATACAAATTTAATATGATAAACACGCAACACCGTACATAAGTTGCATACATAGGAAATGTTAAATTTTATATTGTTCCAAATATCTCTATTTTCATACACATAAAGCGAGTATGTTTTAAAAGTATCTTCTTTCGAGACACTGTTATACTGATTATTAACTCGTAAATTGAATTTATCATCAGATTTTTACACGTACATATTCCATGAAATAGTTTTCGATGGTGCCAAAACTATTTTTTGATGGTTCGGTCGTTTAACAACATGTCGTTAACTTTTAATGAACATTCGTGAGTTCTGACATAATGTTGCACTAAAATTGCACAGCTGATTTTATTACCAGTTCGGTACGCCATACATCTGAAAAATATATTTCCTTTATAGCCTATTAAACGACTTCGAGGAGGTTATTTTAAAGAACGCGCAAGTCTATATTTTAGATGTTTATAAAATGGGAAATCTATCGTCGTCACAATTGAATGGGAATGATATTATTAAAAAAAAAAATAAAAATAAAATACAGATATTTGTAGTAACAAATTCAGTTTTCTGATAACATGAATAAGTAGTTCCTATTTTTGGTCGGTGTATTTATTGAATTTATATTTAATATTTATTAAATATTTTCGTGCATTTTATTTAACATAAATCAGTTATTTTTGTAGATTTACGTATAAATTAATAAATTGCTTGTTATACCCAAGAATTTAAATACAATTTTACGGTTGATATTATTTTATCGATATTTATGACATTGCAATAAAATAAACATTCATTAATGACTTAAAGAGCTTGTGGTGTGTACATTTTGGTTGAAAAATACTTTAATACAACATTTTAAAATGTTACGTAATAATGTAGCAAATAAACACTGTATTACAATAATTGAAATCAGTAATGTATTGAATTACTAATATTAATAGTAATTAGTAAATAATGTTATCTACAAAAAATTGTTTATAATAAATAAGTATTTTATTTTTTTATTTTTCTATGTTATTTTATGTAATACGATTTGGGATGAAACTTTATAGCTATAAGTTTTCAATTAACATAAGATAGAAATAAATAGAAATGATTTATTGTTCTAAAAAAAAAATATATATATATATTCGAAAATTTAAATAATTGAAGTTTGTAAAATTATTTGACCATTGTCCATTTATTTATGGTAATTATCTGTAACTTTAATGATTGAACACAGGAAAATACTATTGAAACAAATTTAATCAAAAACTTGTAATTTAGGTCATTATGATTCGTAATGTTTTACTAAATGAAATATACTAGCTTATTAATTGGCATACTTTTTTTATGATTTCAATACAAAAAACATCAGCGCATAAACGAACGTTTTAAATAGTGAAACAAATAACTTTTTTTTTAATTGCATTATGCTGGTAAAACGAGCAACTAAAATATATTTTAAAATATTTGATAGTTTATAGTATACTCCTATTATTAATTTTCTAAAGTATTTATTTAATTTTAAATTACATTTAACTGGTCCATTTTTAGTAAATATTTGTACCTATGTACATAAATATTTTTAAGTAAACATTTTTCTACCGCTATTTTTTCATGGCTTTTTATGCTCATATAAAATGATTTTTTTTTTTTTTTGTCTGAAATACCTAAAATTTTATTTCTTATAACCATTTTTAAAAACGTGTACCAATGTATAATACGTATTAAATTATTATTATTAAAAATAAATTAAGTTCACAATTGAATACAATACACCACTATAGGGCACGTATATTTTTAACAACAATATATTTTACAATTCTTTTGGTCGTATAATGTGCTCTCTTCATAAAAATGCTCACATAAAATATGGGAAATCACCGCAATACGTGTGTGTATTGTAACTTGTAAGCTTTACTTTTTTCCCGGTTATGAATAGAGGAATCTTACACACTAATACAGAGAGCTGATTCGTTACAGTACAATGAATGAGTAAATAAATACAATGAATTACAAATGTAAACAAATAAATCGTGTTACGATCGCATGGCAAATGTTTGTGCCGTGTGTATTGCATAGGTCGTAATAAAATATCTAGACAGCCTTATGAGTATATATAATTATATTATATAATAATATTGTCGTTGATATTGGATTGTTTTACATGTACATAATATTATGTAACGTACTTAATAGTTATTGCAGTTATTAATGAAATCATACACCATATAATATAATGTTATGATGGATGTTATACATTTATTTCAGCTTTAAATCTTCAGAGCTTTAACATCTGTTCTACAACCTATAAGTAATTTTAGTTCAGACATTTTTGATACATTTCTGATACTAGGTAATACGTCTGTAATCATTTTTTTGTTTTTGTTTTTATGTTTCAGAAGAGAAAAAACTTTACCTCCCTACTGACGAATCTACAGAACTGTATTTGTTGGCTTTCTTGAGAGTTTGTAAATTCTATCCAGAGAGTGCATTTAAAAGAGTTAGTATATTTGATTTCTATGTACCTACCAACATTGTATACACAAATATTACTATGCATTATATTAGTATATACAGGACCAAACATAATTAACTAATAGATTTAAATTTTTTTGTTTGAATTTATTAATTTGTGTTTCCTAAAATGAGTTTTATTAAGCATATTTTTAAAATTATAAGACATGGTTTTAAAAACTAACTGAGTGAGTTTATCTTGGAATTGAAGAACTTGGAAAAACAACCAGATGAATCTAGTTTTTTCGAAAATTCACTTTTTATGAATTAGTATAAAACTACATAAATTTGGGTAAACAAATATTTAGGCAATAATCAGTTAAATCCGATAAATATAAATATATTTTATTATAGAATTTAATTTATCTTATTTTTATTCTTGTCATGATAACCTGACAACTATGAATTTATGATAACTCATTTTAAAACTTGAGATATTGTTTTGTTACAATTTGTAAGTATTTAAATCAAAATTTATAATTGTTGGTAAATTTAATTTGATTTATATTAGTATATCTTTGAAAAACAATATATTGGGTGTAAAAACCAGATATATCTATAAGGTCTATAACTTTGAATTAATTATATCTAAAGATAAAAAAAAAGTTAACTGCATTTTAAGTTCACATTATTATTTATCATGATTTTGATAATTAAAAATGATATTCTTAATAATTTTAGTACTGATTAATCCTAAAAATAAATCGTGTTTTATCAGCCATGAGCTATTTTAAAAAGTTGAATAATTCCGAGCTCTTCAATTATGTACAACAAAGATGAATTCACAATTTTGAATTTTTTAAATTTGGATTTGTTGAATTTGAAGGACATTTAACAAATTATTATATGATTCATTTAACTTTATATTTATTTACTATCGCTTTTAGTTATAGTAATATTAATTTTTTTTAAATTAAGGTTAAAATTACTTTATATAGGTACTCATATATAATACACTCAAGTAAATTATTAGCATAATTTCATTACATTATTTTATAATATTTTTATTTGTAAATTTATAATTTTACTAAAATTTAAACCGTAAATTATTTTTTAGGTGAAATTTTTGTACAAATTACGACAGAAAAATCCAAAGTATTGCAATGACTTGCTTCCAAGCTTAGAAAAAAACGTCTTTGAGCAAAATATTCTTACAGTCTTACCATCACGTGATCAACATGGAAGACGAATATTAATCACAGAATGTGGACGTACGTCTAAATAATTATTATATTTGTTTTAAAAACATATTATTAATCTCATTGGGAAGTAAAGTTATTCAACAATGACCAACAAACATCAATTAAAACGTATAAATACAAATAAATACGTATTGTAAAGTGACATAGTAATATATCCCTAGAGGCCATGATTCAGAATAGATAGTTCACAAAGCTGGATATTTCAGTATTTTAAACCAAAAATTAAAAACAATAAATGCATGTCTAAATTGGGGTTTCAGTTTATGTACTAGTTTTTATTGGTCCAGTTACTCGCGCCAATTTTATTTTACGAATAAGTCGTATTCATATTTTTAATTTAATATAAAAAAAATAGTTAAAATACATTTTGGAGTATCAAATTAACTTATTGGATGTATCTGTAAACAATAATTAGTTAAATCCAACCTTATAATTTTTTAACTATTAATACGAAAGTTAATTAGAAGTAGATACTTAAATATAATTTGTGTACGTTGATGCGAACATGAATAATAATATATTACATATTAACATAACATTACACACTGATTTGCTATTGGAACGTTTATAAAGCTTGTGTAGTAATCAATGTTTCTTTTTTTGTTAAAATTGTGTTGACATAACAAATTTTGGTATTCATTTATACAGGAAACTCGTATAAAATATAAAGTACAAAAAAATAAGGTTAGCGCTGCTTAGTGTAAATTTTATTTTATTTTTGTCTTTTTCATAGCAATGAATAAATTACGATTTACTAAATTTATACTTATTCTATTTTTTACCCATATTATGTTATGTAATTTAATTTAACACAGAGTCTTGTGTTCTGAAATTTATTTATTTTGGATTGATTGTATGCATTTCTATAGAGAGATGGAAAATTAAAAATTGCTCACTGACAGAGATCTTTCGGGGCATTGAGCTGGTGATGGAAGCGGCTATCCTCGAGCCTAGAACTCAAGTGTCAGGCACTGTGCTGTTGGTAGATTTTGCTGGTCTAACTATTAACCACGTGTGGCAATTCACACCAAATTTCGCTAAAATGGTTTTGGACTGGATACAGGTGAGAACGAGTGTTTTATTCTCATTGCATTGCACAATTGAGCGCTTGTGATTGTAATTATACGTAACCAATTAATTTAAAAATAATTTGATCCGTTTTATAGCGATATGTTGATTATAATTCACAAAATATTAGTTTTGGTACTGAAATTTTTTTAGTTTAAAACCATACATTTCTCATATATTTTAGTTTTGTTTTTTTTATAAATGTGTAAAAAATAAACACGTTCAATTTGATGTTAAACATAATATAAAAAATTTTATGAGTTTTTATATACAAAAACCTTTTTATTTAAATAGCATATGCAATAATCATATGGATTATCAACTTATAACTAACTTTAATGTTTTAACAAATATTTATTGGTGCCTGTTATTTTTTTTAAATACACATTAATAATAAAAACACATTTTTATTTTAAGGAATATTTTACCGTGGTAAGTCAATGATATTTATTTTTTTGTCCACTTTTCCGAAAACTTATTAAGATAAAGTCTCAAAAACTTATCTTAACATGCCATTCATTATAACTTAGTGCTAAAACTACATAATACTATAAGAGGTAAATACCTATGTAAACTGTGTTATTCATATTGAAGAATTTGATTAATTAATTACTACAAAAATCGTTCAATTAAAATGTTTGCAATACTAAAGTGGTTTTTACATAACACAATGCAATGATCAAAAATAATAGTATTTGTAAAATATGTTAAATTTCCAACACGATACATTTATACTTATCATCATAACCAGAAGCATAAAAATATCCGATTCTTTTAGGTTAAATAATTAAGCAATTAAGAATAAAACTGTTTAGTTTGTTTTGGTTCTTTTATTTTGTAATTGAATCTAATAAGACTATAAAATTTAATGGTCCCATTTCATTATACAAACAATGCATGAAAATAATTTGGACAAGTTTTCTCACTACTATAACATTATTTATTCATTCTTAAGTCATTCTGAAGAAAATAATTCGTATAATATAATATAATATTGTTAATATGCTAAAACTAAATATAAAAATAAACACATATAACGGTACAATTACTTTGAATTATAAGTAGTTATACGGCTTCAGTTAAATAAATAATAATACATTTTTAAAATCATTATTTTGTTAGAATGATAAACTGTATTATATTATCTACAAGAATCCTAGACAAGATTATAATATTCAAGCAATAACATTTTATTCTAGATTATTGTTATTCGTAATAATATATTTTATAATTTCTCGATTAAAGTCTTAAAAAAAAATAACAATATAATTTGTTTTTCTTAATTCAAATATTTTATGCATTCATTCGAAGGTAGTATAAAACAAAAATAAATAAATAACATAAACATAATTAAATTTGAAAAAAATTATTTTAATTTATCTAAAAATATAGTTTAAATATTATATAGTATTCTACAAAGTTGTAAATAATATCTCAAATTATTCAAAAAAAAAAAAATTTCATAGTTATATCCATATTAACACATTATAACATTATATATTATATAAATAATTTCTATTCATACATATATAAGCGACACACATTACTTAGTAAAATAATAATAATAATAATAATTTAAAAACTAATATAAACTAAATTGTTAATTATTACATTTATTTTTAAAAATACTAAGAAAAGTAAAAAAAAAAAATATAATATAATAATTAGTTGTTTGTATCAATCCTATATTTTTATCATTCAATTATTGACCCATACTAAAATAAATTAATATAAAGGTCAATATCAATAATTTTTATTTAACAATTTTTAAAGTGATTTTTTTATTTCTTATATTATACTAACAAATTGGTTTCAAAGATCAAAAAAAAAATTAAATTTTTTTAATTTGTAGGTATTTACAAAAAAAAAAAAAAAATAATAATAATAAATAATCTGAGAAAAAAAAAACAAATAACATAAAATTAAAAATTAACTTTAAGGTGTTTAATTGGTAAAACATATATATATATAATATGTTATAATCAACGCTTTGTAAAATTTTTTTCTTTACAATATTTAATGTACAGGTTTTAAGAGAGTTAATAGAAATTTCATTAATATTATTAGTAAGCATATACTAATAATTATTATCTAATTTAAGTGATACAAATAATATTTATTTTCACTTTATATATTTTTATATTATATAATTAACTAATTTATTAAAATATTGTGTTTCAGTATGCAATGCCAGCAAGACTGAAAGAAGTTCACATTGTAAATCAACCGTATATATTCAACATGGTGTTTGCTGTATTCAAACCATTTATACAAGAGAAATTGAGAAATCGAGTATGTATAAACAATTTTAAATAATTTGTCGGTAAAAATAAAATGTATAAATAACTTATCCAAATTATTAAAAAATTAAAACATTTCGGTATATAATTTATATTTGTACATTTAATGAACAAAGTACTCGTACATTTATCTAAATAATTAATTTGTCCAAAAAATATTATATTAAAAAAAAAAAAAAAAATTACTTATACCATATTTCTACATAATTTTAATCATAATATGTAGCCATGCAAGACGTAACTACTAAATTTTAATAATTTATAATATAATATAACGAGTTAAATTTATTAATTTGAATTTTTTAACATGTATAGCGTTAAAAAAATAATCGGATTACTATTGTATAAAATGAACACCAGTAGTATAATTTTTTGTTAAACTCGACTTTAATGAAGATGCACTCGAAATGCATTAAAATTGCTAGGTACGCTTATCTAAATGCCATTTTCTATAAAAATTTCTTTCCAGTTATTGAATATAAAATTAAACAGTAGGTACTTATATATAGTTATAAACAACGGTTATTAATAGTTTATAAACACATGTAGAGACCTGTAGTTTGATGCATTTTAAAATGTTTGTTTATAAAGCACTTAAAAAAATAATCAAATTAAAAATTCTCAATAAACACATCAATAACACAAATTAAGTCAAAACTGTAATAAAATATAACATTACAATAAATGATCAACAATAATTATCGACTAATCGTTCTATAAATTAAAAAGGCATAATAATATAGGTATTTAAATTATATACACACATAATAATAATACTAGCTATATACTTTAACTTCACAAGGGAAAAAATGAATAAATATAAAATATTGTGCTACATTGATGTGTCTCTCTTATATTTATTTTAATTCATAGTCTAATAAAAGTCATTAATTAATTTATCATGATAAAAAAGCTAATAAACAAATATTTTTAGCAGATTTTTTTTAAATAAGTTCATGTAATAAAAAAATATAACAATGAAAAAATAATTATATGATAAAAATAAACCAATAATAAGTATAAAAAAAATACACGACTAGTAATATTTTTTTTAAAAATAAAAATATAACTTCCATGAATAAATATGATAATTTATTTGTTTGGTGCAAATATTACACAAACAGCTACCGAGTTTGTTAATTCAATTTCTAGATTTTGCTAGGAAATGTGGTCGATTTATAATTAATTAATTTTATCTTTATTATTTATAAAAATATTAAAAAGAAAGTCTATAACTTAACTTGCTCCATGACATTGTCTATAAATTAAAAAAAAACTGGATAAAAAGTTTAAAAACCAACCCGTAATAATAAAAAAAACATTTATACTTCTTTATTAAGGCTATGCGTGTTTATGCCTATTAATTTTTTTTTTTTTTTTTTGTTTAATTTTTATTTCTCAATCTGTTTATAATTAATTATTGAACAACAAACAAATGTGATGATGACATAATGTTTATGAAAAATAAATGAAATGATTTACTAAATGAAAAATCCACCTATTAGAGGAATTTCAAAATTAGTAAAACAACTTTTTAATATTTAAATATCACCATTTAATTTTTTATGTTTATGTTTTTTTTATATTTCTTTACAGTATTCCTAATATTAAATTACCTAAAGATTCTAAACTTAAGAATAGATATTTGCGATTTTTTAACATTTCACAACATCAGATTACATTGGTTATATTATATAGTATCTACCTACGATTACTAGGTTTTAAATTTAACAGAGTACCTACAATAATAATACAGTTATGTTACATATTTTATAATTCAATAAAATTTAAATTATATTTAAAATTATAGATTAAGTTAAATGAGCTGATTTAAAATATGGTTGGGAAGTTAACTTTAGAGTCTGTGTTTGTTAGGACGGACGATCAACCCGAAGTGTTCTACCGCTTGCTTAGTGTAAATAACTGTAGAAGCTTACTCGTAAGTTCTTGATGTTGTTTTTGATAGATGGTATTTTGAAGTCTGTGTTCAAACTGAATCTAACTCCGTTTAATATTTTTCAAATAAGATAAGATATTAATGAATGTGCAAGGAAGCAATGCAAATATCATAATTATAATTATCTGTTATAGCTTAATCATTTACAAATAAAAGTAATAGGTAGAGCGAGTAGGTTATATTGAAGACATTAAACAAAAAAGGAGGGGTAACTGTATTAATTGTTTTCGGTAAAGAAGTGAATGAGTCATAATAAACTTATAAGAACGATCTTCCAAATAAGATTTAAGGATAAGATTTATTGATAAGTGGTAGAATGAGTTTCAATTTAAACAAGAGGCTAGCGTATAAAATACGGTTAAACATTTGGGAAACATCTAAGAAGATGTTAATACAGTATTATTGTTCTTCAAAAGATATTTTGTTAACTGTATGTTGAATTTGATAGATCGTGTAGAATTTTTAATTTGAAAACTATATTTTAAATCCGTAAAGACTTTATTTTTTTTTTTTTTTTTGTTACGATACTTAGTACCTTTATATTAGGATTTTTTCAAACATTAATGACAAGATTGAAATTAGACTAATATGCTCATATGGTGATAAATAGACTAATGCATTGTTTTGGTAAAAGAAAGCGATTGACGGTATTAAATTTTTATATCTAGTATAGAATAATAAGATAATCCAAGTATTGAATTTATTGAGTTGTAATACAATTAATGTGCATATTAAAAATATAATTCAATATTTTTTGGGAGTTGGTGGAATATTTTTGGAGTTATTAAGAAGTACACTAGAAACTTTTTCTATTGGAATTTTGATATTGTATAATGTATATTGGACTTGAGCTAGAAAGAAGTATATTTTTTTGAGTTCAACTAAGTTACTTTTTATTCGAAATAAGAATGGTGTTTTATAGTTGGAAAGTATCAATAAGGTGATACAAAAAATACTAGCTTTGTCTTCATCTCACTGCACACAAATGCTATAAGCGTTGTGCAAAGTAGCCAGAGAATGTTATATACAAAGAAGTTATTTGTTATAGTATTTTAGAAAGAACCGTTGCGTTTTGTAAGTGAATAGTCTTTTATGTAAAATAAAAATACAGATACAAAAAATGCGCAAAATATAAAATTAAATACTCTAGTTTTGAAAAAAATAATAAACCACTTATAATTAGATGATATGTAATATGTCAGTAAGTATTTTAAAGGTTAATAAATATTACACAATTAATAAATAACAAACGATACATATATTTTTGAAATAATATTTAAGTACTAGTAAGGTCCTGGGAGCCTCCTTGTGTTGTTATAAAATACCTAATGGAGTTTCAGCTTCTCTCACTACAGTTATCAGCTTAATGAACTACTTGCGTAAGTATAGTAAGTATGTATTTTGAGTACAATATATCAACACAAAAGTCAAATTTAATTGTGTAATATTTCTATTGAATAAACGAATAAAAGACTTTGAAAAAATAAAATATTTATTTCTATTCTATGTTTACACATAAAAGTATATTTTATCCAAACCATAAACCTACCTATTATTTTTCTTATAATATTTTTATATGGAACTTTATAATATTATTCACTTTAATTGGTTTAATTTATTTTAAATATAATACAGAGCATTTATATTTTTATTTTTGTATGTGCATACACTTTATAATAGAAAAAAATCTTTTATTTTTAACTTCAATACCTGGTGTGAAGTAAAATTACTTGGTACTTTTGAAAGATCAAAATCAAAAAAAAAAAAAAAAAAAAAACTATTATTTTTCAAAATAATAATAATAATAATAATAATATAAATAATACTTTTATAGTTTTTTGACTTTTTTTTTTTGAAATATTTATATATATATATATATATATTATAAATTCTGATAAAAAATTTTTCTTGAAAAACTTGAAAATAAAATTAAAAGTAATATTAATGGAATTAAAAAAAAAAAAATAAGATTAAATTTATAATAATTTACACCTATTGTACATTACCACGATCATAAATGTATTTCCCCCCTTTTTTTTATTCATAATTTCTATTTCAGGTAAAACATCTTTAGATTAATTTATAAAAATTGCATCTTTTTGAAATATACAAACGAGTTTATAAATGACGAAAATCTATTAACCATTATTATTTAATTTTAATTAAGTAGTTAAATAAATACAAACAATATTATTATTGTCTCTCCTTTATTACCACTATTTAAATTTATTTTTTAATAAATATTTGGTATATATATATAAAAAAAAAAAATATGTCCATAAAAAGTTATGAATCTATACAAAGTGATTGTTTTATCAACAATAAATTTAAACCAAAATGAATGGAATATTTACTACCTAATATTTTAATATTTATAAACTCTTATCAGAAAAGTAGAACTTTTTTACTTAGTTGGTCTTGTATGATAAATAATAAAAATAGTTCATCGATTTCGTTAGAAACTCAGAACCGATTAACGAGGTTTAATTAAAATTAGCATAATATCATTACATAGACTTTTTCATTGATAAACCTGCATTTTCATATGGCTATATTCAAATATACTGGAAACGTTTTTGTTTAACTAATTTACGTATTTTAACCTTATTATTATAATTTTTTTAAGCTTAATTAATATTCAAAGTGTACCATATTAATTTCCTCTTAAGGTATCTCGAATTTGATAAAAAAAAAAAAAAAATGTATTTATGATATTAAATTTAAGAAGGACCAAATGTACCTTATTTAGAACATAATAATGTTTACTGTATATGTATACTTTTTGTACTTATTTTATTCAGATATTTAGTTATTTAACTGTATTATATATAAAATATCATTAAATTTTATATATGTTATGAGTAAAATTATAAATCAGGTATCGTAAAAAATGTCTGATATTAGTAACGAAATTGAATAAAAGTTTACATTGTATTCAATAACACTAAAATGTGGCAAAGCTGATAAATTAGATAAATAAATAAAATTTCATAAAACAGATTCGTATTTAATCTCAATATATAATATAAATTGTATAAAAAAAAATTAACATATTATTTTAAGAAAACCTAATAGGTACTGCATTTTGTATACAGCTATTATCACTAATAAATTAAGCGATGAAAATAACCTGTAAACTTGAATCGAATGAAACACTAAGACATTTTTTAAGATTTTTTTTTACACAAACTACTATTAATATGTTTAAAGTCATTTAGAAATTTTGTAACTATACACTTATGTGACTTACGCTTACACAAAGTTTTACACAGATAGAAATTCACCTAAATTTTATAATTCTAACAGTATTATTATTTTTATCGTGCTTTCCAATGTTCAATATAATATGTTTATTCGTTTTTTTATAACTATTTAATTAAATTTACATTATCCGCAGGATTCTAGGTAGAGCATACATTGTCTTTAAATTGTAGGAAATATTTAATTCCTGGCATAATATATGAATAACAATAAATGATTTTTTAAACCATGGTTTTAAATACAAGTTTCGGAAAATTGTATTCCATAATTGTTGTAAAATGTTTCAGATGCTTTTTCATGGTTATGATCATACATCATTATTAGCACATCTGGATGCCAAATGCTTACCAACTAAATACGGTGGTCTCATGGAGATAGAAACCGACCAAGGCATAGAATTATGGAATTTACTGTGTTATTACGAAGAAAACTATAAAGGTATGACGTAATAAAAATAATTAATTATTTAATCTTAACAACTTAAGTGGTCTTTTTATCTATTTTAGTGACAAATGGATTTGGCTACAAAAAGAAGAAATAATCCGCAATATGTTATGAAATTCAGTAGCCTAGAATTGTGTTTTTTGTTATTTAATACTACGTACGATATAAATGTAGATTTTAATTATTTTTTATTGGGATATTGACCAAAAATAATAATATTTAAATGTATTTATTATTTTATTCAAATGTATTTATAATACTATAGCTACTTTCAACACAAATTATTGTATTAAATCAAATTATTTGATTGATGATTATTTGTTTTGACTGTGTGAAATATTTATAATATGATTACATAGTATTTAATCATACTGCAATGAAGTATAAGAATATCAATTTAAAATTTAATTACATTATAATTAAATAATAAAAACTTAAATGTATTTCTCCTATGTTTTTTTTTTTTTTTTAAACCTATTTAATACAATTGTTATGACTTACATTTTATATTAATATAATAAAAATTTTATTAATTTACAATAATTTGTAAGTGCTTATGATTTTTTAAGAATATATATATTGAGCTGTTAAATAAAGTAAACTTATGGTTGACTCTCTGAAGCGCATTTAATACAAAATTTAATCTCCAATAATAGTTACGTATTTTGTACTTGCTTAGATTATTTGAAGAATATTATGCATACATCAAGTGTCATAAAAAAAAGTTATTGTAAATAACTAATATTTATTAACAATGCAATTTAATCGGCATATATTAGTAATGTAGGTGTTCAGTTTGAGCAAATTATTATAATCTCAAAAATAAATTATCGTGTAACTATAGAGATACATAGTATACACTTTTATATATGCATATATATTTAAAAATAATTAACGTAATTTTTATGAACTCATAAATATGTTAGAACAATGAGCACAAATTATTGAAAAACTAATATCCACATTTTCATACTATAATTACACGTTGAATTCATAATAATTTATAATGATAAAAAAAGGGGTTCCCTTATATTTACATTAACACTCAGATAATTTATAATGCATATATAGACTTTTATATTAGATAAATGTTTGCCGAACATGATAACATGAGTCTTTTCCAATGTACTTATCTACCTTGTGCAACTATTAAGTAAATATTGTTTTGAAATAATAAATTTAGCGTACTCTTCTAATTGTGTTTAGGTAATTTTTAGGTTAAACGAATAATATAAAAACTACAAGTAATTTAATCCATTGAAAAACACTATACTTGTATTCTTCAAACCAAACCAAACAAGTTATAAGTTATATTATAATGTTTTATCTGTGTAGATTGTATGTATGCATATGGTATTTATTATATAGTGATAAATACATCGATCATATGTCAAATAAGGGATTAAATTCGATATTTTAGATTACAAGTAAAATACAACAAACATCAATTTAAACAGAATAATAGTCATTGCGAGTATGTTTATCCATACTCATAATATCTCATGTATGACATAGGATTAACCGCGCTCCGTATTATAATTCTTACTGCATAAAAATACGTGACGAATAATGTATTAGTTTATTCGAATTTCATTGATGTAGGTATGTCGTATAGTAGTTATGTGGATAATATAACCACATCACGGGAAAATTAAAACCCACATTTTAAATATTTTTTTTATTTTTTTTTATTTTTGTTTTAATTGGAGAAAAAATCAATAAGTAATTATAAAAATGAAGATAAATATATTAACGAAATAATATGAAAACGATTAATCTCGTATCTGACCTATTAGGATACTAACAAACAAACACTAGCGGTTAGAATTGCCTATAGTTATAGCCGGAATTATTATTATCAGGTCCAATTTTATCGTACGAATTATTTTATTTATGTGAGTAGTTAGTAGTGAAATATGATTGATAGAACACAATGATTTTTATGATAGGCTAAATTTTACCATCATCTGCTTCGATGGTGCTTATACACGAAATTTAATAATAATACTGAAGCAATAATAAAATATACATTTTCATTTTTAAGACCACCAGTGAAATCCCATCTCACATTTTAACTATTATTTTAAATACATCAATGTTTGTCCATAGTATGTGTTTAAATTTTCACTTATAAAATTACACATATTAAGCACGATAATTTAATTAATTTTAAAAGAATCATAATTAATTCATTAATATTAGAACATTTATAAGCAAAAACTCACTGCTATATTATACAAGTATAACTTTTTTTGACATTTTTTTTTAAACAATGTAAAAAGTTTCAATATTGACAATAATAATTATAAAGGAGAATTAAAGGCACACATTTGTGGTATCCCTAAAATGAGTTCCTATTTTAAGAGATATAAGTTCTCGCATGAGTTTCTTTCAAGGTCGGTTTGTTTCAAGGAGAGGATATTTAATAAAGGATTTAAGTGGTTGTCAAGCTGTTTGGAATTATTTACATAATATTTGATGCTGATTTGTTTAATTTTAGGATGTAAATTATCCGAGTTATTAGTATTTAAAGATGCTACTTATGGCTCAAATATGTAAGTATGTACTGAATGTAAATTTAGTAATAAATTAAGAGTTTTGTATGACTTATAATTTCGATTCATTAACCAGTTAGCTCTGATTTCGCATTATTCATGTTAGAAATGTCATAACTCATTTTTATGAATTTCATCGTTAAAAGCAAACGTTTCAAAAATGTATTTCCTCCTAGCCAACTATTAAAAAAAGTTTTTTTTTTGAGTCCCCGGTTTATATAAATATATATTATATACAAATATAATATGTTTATATTATAGATGTTCAAAACAAATTTATAATATAAGATGGATATTTAAAATTCTATAATTAAATTAAAAATATATCAATTATTATAATATAAATTATTTTAAAACAATTTGTTTTGGAATGTATAGTTCAAAGTAAGACCTAAAATTAAAATGTTTACAATTTTTTTTCGATCAAAAATATTGATAATCAAATACAAAATTACTTGGAAATTATTATTTTAAAAATTATAAACAAGTATAATATCAATACAATACTAAAAAAAAAAATAGTTTATTTTTTTAAGAGTAATAATTTTCATGACATTTTTAAACAAAGAATAAAAATTATATTTTTTGTCAAAAGATTAAAGTTATTTTGTTCTAGTTAAAAGTTAAACAAAAAGTTTATTATAGAAACTTGTTACTTATTAGTTTATTACTTATATTGTAACTTTGTATTCACAAAAATATTCTCAAAATGTGCTAATTCGTTTCATGATATTAATGCCATAAACAATTTTATACCATTTTATGATACGTTAATATTAATGTATATACAAGGGTTGGCAATAAAATTCTATGGTGATCCAGAAAATTTGAAAAAAAATTTCCAGGGTTAGTAAAAACTTAAATATTAGTAAATACTTATCGTGTTATAGTAACTATTATTGTAAATAGTGATAAGCGATTAACACTATTGAAATCTATAAATACATCATAAAATAGATCAAATATTGCGGCAAAGCAGCAATCAAAGAAAAAACTTTTTGCGGTCCAGTTATTTTCCCTCTACAGGCCACCTATTGCTGACCTCTTGTATAATATGTTAAGTATGTGGTATTTTTAACAACAATTAGTTCAACTTAACAAAAATAAATTGAAATAGAAATAAACATATAGTATTAAATATAAACTATTCTTAGAAATATGTGATGATACACCCATTTTCATCGCGCTGAATTATTTTTTTTTCATAGAAAATTAACGTCTATTTTAATGACCTACTCAAGGAATCTATTAGCTACTACACATTATTATACCGATTCCCTGTTATTGTTTTATTTTTTATTTATTTCGCAATGTTAGAAATTAATTAGATTTTCTTATTAGAAATTGTCTGTACCAAATAATAAAAAATTAATGTTATATTGTTTATGTATTATTTGATAATCTGAATATTAATACTTTAATAATGAAAATATAAAACGAAAAAAAATGATCATTAACAAAAACATCAATAGTTGGTATTAGTTTTTGTTTACTACATATAAAATAATATTTAAAAAGTATGATTTTGTTGTAAATCATACAGTTTTTCAGAAAAAAATAATTGTTCAAAAATTATTTACATTTATTATTTAAAATTGTTTAATACTTGTTTAAAAATGTATTACCTAAATTAATGCGAAGTATATAATAAATTAATTCGAACCTAGGTATATTAGAATATAATATAATTAATTTTCATAGGTGACAATTATATTTTATGAAAATTTAATTAAATCAAGAAAATATAATAACTTTTTAATTTTATGTTTTAAACAACATAATAATATATTAGATAAATTATAATTGTAAAACACTTCACATATATTGTTATTATATAATATTAACAAGAGAAATTGTGCTTTAGGTCGTAAAAGAGCATTATTACAGCATTAAAGTAACTCAATAATTTGGTAGAATGTATGAAAACGAAGTTTTACGCTCGTATTCATGAATTAAATATACAAAGTGTAATATATTATAAGATATCGAAGACGTACAAAATACTATATTTTAGAATTGAGTTTTATTCTATATCAATATTTTTCAAAATAAATTTAAATGTGTTATACAATTTGTTGAGGTATCTACACTATGTTAGTATAGGAATTTATTCAGTTTGTAATAATTGTATTTTATTTTAGTTAGAAAATACAATACCAAAAATTGAAGTAGTTATTTACAGAAACATTTATTGGTCGATCCAATATGAATTTTATAAAAAATTTTACTCTATTTTTAGTTTGTTATTTTACTGATAGTATATTGGAGTATAATAAATTTTTAATTCAAAATTTATTTAAATGTATTTTAATGACAATTACCTATTATATTATTATAGTTTAGATAATTTCATATGTAAATAATTATGTTTTCAATTTGAATTATAAAATAATTCCTCGAAAATAAACAAATCATTTTTTTTTTTTTTTTAAACTGTGTGTTTAATAAAATTTGCAAAAAAATCTTTTATTAGTGATTACTGATTACTTACCGATAATGTCAAGTTATAAAGTTTCAAATAACATAATTTTTTTTGTATATCATATTACGAGTATGTAATAGTTGATACAAATTTAATTTTTTTAAATAGAAAATAAAATTGAGTAGGTACATTAAAATTACTTATCTGAAAAGATAATATCATATAACC